GGGGGGGGGGGGGGAGGGTTGCAGCAAGCCTGCCAAAAGTGCAGAGCCCACGCTTTTTCACAGAGCCTGCCCGAAATCATGGTTTCTGTGAAAATTGTGCAATCACAATTTTGGTAGGCCCTAGCTATTAAATGGTGAAATATATATAATTCACTAGATGATTAACTTTTTGCTCATATTTATATCAAGCTGGATTTGGTTTGCAATTTGAATTTAATTAAACACCAAAATCAGCACTTCAAACTTATTAAACACATTTTTAATGTTTTGGATACAGAAACTTTTAAAAATCAAAACATGGTGCACATTTACAAGTAATTTATTAAATGCTAGTATTAACTGTTATAGTATTAAAAAAAATGAATTGTGCTTGTTGAATTAAGCCAAGTATTTTTAGATCTTTCTGGGGAAAAATATTTAAAATGCCTTGGTGAAAGTCACCTGGGATTAAGTTCCTACTACCTAATTCTCTTTAAAATGAGACAGTCACTTCAGAAGAGCTGGGGTCACATTAAAAATGTATAACTGACATATACCACCATAGACTAGCACATTCATTAGATTTTGAACACAAACATTTTGAAATTTGTTAGTAAACCACCCAAAATAACTAACAGTATTGTCATAAATTTATCATTTACTAGCATTAAAGTATATGGCAGCCAATCTATAAGAATGGTTCAGAAATAATACATTTCCTAGCCAATTAATCCAGATAACTCAGACGTACTCACATCAGCATTTTTCAAAATGTTCCTTCATTCAGGCTACCAAATCTTGCAACTCCTTGTTGCACTGTTTACATTTGACACATGTTCCTCATTTGCACAGTGGGAGAGGAATTTCTTGAAAATATTTCCAAATAGGGCCTTTTTGTGACCTGCAGCCCTGGCAGTTTTTTCATACAATTTCCAGGTACTGAAATCAATACTAGTCTATAATCCACAAAGTGTTGTTCCTCTTCTTACGCTGCTTTGAGCCCAGTGTTAGCCCTTTCTGTTGTATACACTGCTACTTACTCTGCTCCCTCTCCCTCCTCCATGCAAGAAATCAACAGACCAAGACTCCTTCTGCCTGTGACATAACCCACCATACCCCACCCCCCAAAAAAGAAAAAAACCCTAAAAAAGCCCTGAACCCTTTCCCCTTACCTTACAATTCATGGTTTCTGCTGTTGCAACCCCCTGGCCTTGTGTGCTGCAGTATCTTAGTTTAGGTACATGGATAGAGCACTTGAGAAGTTAATGTTTACATCTTTGTATATATGCAAAGGGATCAAGAAAAGCAATTTAACTGAGGTACCCAGAGCCATTCAGAAACGGGGTTGGTAGTTACTGAGCAGATGGTTATTTTTCCATGAGCTGGAGAATAAGTCTCCATTATCAGTGCAGAATCATAAATAGTCATAATTTGAGAGCTGCGCTATCAGAGCTCAGGTAGAGAGAATAAAACAGGAATTTATACTATCCAGGTGGGCTCAGTGGATAATCCAGATCAAGGAGTACACAAGATGGTGTCTGCTGGAGTTAGTGGACAGGTTCCAACACCTCTGTTGCAGGGTCAAACCCCTAATACATGAAATATTTTTCCATATTTTTAAAGCATAACCTTAAAAGGAGATGTTTTCCTCTTCATTCTCATATAGGAGAAAATTAGCCTTTAACTGCTAAGTTTTTAGTAGAGGCTCATTGACTCACATACTATTTAGTTTAAATTATTTTAATAGATTATACTAAATTTTATACTAGCCTATGATGTATTAAATTCAAATTTCATTTTAAGCCAGTTTGTTTGCAAAAGGAAAACAGTAAAACAAAATCCTATTTAAAATCAAAGAAATCTGATTTGAATAAAAATCAGGAGGCACTACTTCACAGTCAGGACGGCTAGGATCTGGAACCAACTTCCAAGGGAAGTGGTGCTCGCTCCTACCCTGGGGGTCTTTAAAAGGAGGCTAGGTAGACATCTTGCCGGGGTCATTTGACCCCAGCATTCTTTCCTGCCCATGGCAGGGGGTTGGACTTGATGATCTGCTCAGGTCCCTTCTGACCCTACCAGCTACGAAACTATGAAAATAGATTATTTTTTAAATCATTGATTTTTATCCACCCTGTAAATAAGTGTAAGTAGGATATTCAAAATACTGCTTCAAGAAAGTAGCTTTGGTACTACAAAACTTTTAAAT